CAATAGCTATTCCAAGGTTGGAGGTTCATGAGTCGGTGGGTGGGTATAGGGTGGGTCATGTTATACAAACTACAGATGGGATGGGGGTGTTTGCGTATAAGTGGTATGAGCAGCATTGGCAAGAGGAAGGGGTAGGAGCTGGGATTTAGAACAGGTGTGTGGGAGTGTGATATGTGGGTTTGGGGAAAAACAGTAAAAGGAAGCACTGGGTGGGAAATAACTGAGGAGGAAATATGGAGAGCTTTAAGTGAAATGCAAAAGGGCAAAGCGCCAGGAATCGATGGACTACCGGCAGAGTTTTATCAACAGCACTGGGATCTAATGAAGGGGTTTTTGGTAAGGTTATTAAATTTGATGAAGGAGAGGGGCAAATTGGGAGAAAAGCAGGCAACAGCTGTAGTAGTCTTGGTACCAAAGGGTAAGGGACAGCATACCCTTAGGGACTACCGGGCAATATCATTGTTATGCGCGGATTATAAGTTGTTTGCTAAGATTTTAGGAAATAGGTTTAAGTGCATACTAGGGCGGGTCGTATTGAGAACTCAGTTTGGGTTGCCAGGGAGATCTGTGGTGGAGAGGCATGGGTTACTACGGGATTTTGTGGAAGAAAAAGGGGGGAAGGGGGGCTTGGTTGCTCTAGACTGGCAAGGAGCATATGATAGAGTGGAGCGAGAAGCATTGAGAGCTATCCTTAGGGGACAGGGTTTTGGGGAAGAAATAGTGGGATGGGTAGATGCATTATATCATGGGACAACGGCGAGGGTACAGATCAATGGAAGATTGGGGGGGAGGATTGTAATGGGTAGGAGACTTAGACAGGGGTGTCCTATGTCACAGCTTTTGTTTGCATGCATACAGGACCCCTTTTATAGAATGGTGGAGCAGCAAATGGGCATTAGTGAGGGAGAAGGGTGTGGAGTTGGGAGGGTTTGACCAGTTCTAATAGGGTATGTAGATGATACTACTGTTCTGGTTAGGGAGGGGATGTCAATGGACGCCTTAGATGGGGTAGTCAACATGTTCGCAGGTGCAACTGGTATGAGAGTGAATTCAGAGAAGTCCATGGTCATGGGGTTAGGAGCTTGGGTGGGGAGGGTTGAGTGGGGTAGTGTAGTTGTGACGAAGTGGGTGACTTCATTAAAAATTTGTGGTCTTATCTATGCAGATGATCTGGATGTTGCACATGTGGAAAACTCGGTTAGGTTGGTAGACAGGATTCTGGGTCGCTTGGGAGCATTGCGGCCTTATCATTTGACCCTTGTGTAGCGTGCCATTGTTATTAACGTCTTATTGTATAGTAAGGTTTGGCACGTGGCAGCCATGTTTCCTTTAACTGGGATGGCAATTGCAAATATACTTAGACGGGTTTTTAAATTCTTGTGGGGTTTGGGCTGTGATTGGCTTAAAAGGGATGTGGTAATGTTACCTGTGCATCAGGGGGGTTGGGTTTGATGGATTTAAAGCAGAGGGTTAAATGTATCTTCATTAAGAGGGAGGTGATGAGGGAGGGGGTGGGTGGGGGGGTTTGGTCAAGATACACAGTAGATTGAAACGTATGTATTCTGGGGTAGAGTTGCCCGAGTGTGAAACTGTTTTGAGGGCTCTGGTGTTGGCTCGGGATCTGGGGAAGGTAAAAATAGGTGGGCTGTGTAGGATGTTAGTGGGGAGGGTAGTGGCACCGGTGGAGGGGATTTTCCCCATGTATGACTGCTGAAGTATATGGGGTAGGTTCAGTAGGTTAAGGTTACAACCCCATGGGCGTGAGGTGATGTATCGTTTTTTGCATGGGATTTTACCGTCGGGTGGTTGAGGGTGGGGTCTGTGGAATATGTGGAGGGAAGGATTCGGCGTTCCACGTAATGTATTTTTGTGAGGGGATGGGGAACGTCAGGGGTTGGTTGAGCAGGGTGCTGCATAGGATAAAGGGTAAAAGCATTTCTGTTCTGCAGGCATTAAGTTTTGACATGGGGGGTATGGATGAGAGTATTATTAGGGCTGTGGGGTACATTATGGTAGATTATATTTACATATCGTGGGGAATGCGGGGGAAAGGGGTTAGTGAGGTGAAGCGGCGGGTATTAGCGGTTACGTTTTATAAAACATTGTGTAGAAACAGGGATATTTATGGGCGGAGGTGAGAAAGGGATTTTCCAGCTGGATACAGAGAACTAACGTTAGGGGTATTATTAGACTTGTAAATCAGGAAGGAGGGGTAGGATAGGGATGGTGTATGCTTCTGTGGGAAGGGGTGCCAGGGGTATGAAACGGGGTTGCCTCCTGGGGTTGACAGTTGCTAAAGATGTGTGTGATTTGATGGGAGTGAGAGTTGTTGAACTAGCGCACTTTTTCTGAGGTGTAAGGAATATTATCATTGGCAGTTATTGTCACCTGGTTGAGGTGACATTATGTTATAACCTTATCTCCATAATTATGTAAAATGTTGATATCCAATGTAATGTGTCTTGGTGTTATTGTGAACACCGATGATTATATATTTATTTAAGGATTCCTTCATGTTTTGTAAGGATGTACGTAAGCATGTTAGTATATAAACATTTTAATTGTATCATAGGATATTTAGTGGTAGGGTGTGGATGGTGTGGTTTGGGAGGAATAGAGCCTTTATGATTGGATCTGAGTCTTGCTAGTAGAGATTTGTAACTTGTAACCATATGTGTCTACCTATATCTGTAGTTGTGCATAATTTAAAATGATCAATGTAACTTGTCATAATAATGAGGTATTCATACCTGTTTTTTAACTAGTGGCACGTTTAGGTATTGTATATATAATGTAAGATCTTGCCTGGGGTGTTCTTGCTTATGTATTGTTACAGAAGTTTTTCACAAGTTCATTATATATGATTAAGTGAATGAGTTTTTGATCTTGTGTATAGCCAGGTGAAACTGGACAGTTTTCACTTGGGGGGGGGGGGGGGGGTAGGAGTGTAAGCAATCTCTGCAATAGCAGGTCATGTGAAACACATGTCATAATTATTTAATTAAGATGTCTAATGTTGTCCATCTCTGTAGGATGTGATGTATAGATTATCTCCGGCAGTGTAAATAATCTGTCTGCAGGAGGGAACAATGTGTAAATTTATTTATTTTGGTAGGTTTATGTATATAGCGTGTTATTAGGGTGATATACATTATAAGACGCTAATTACCATCAATGACTGTTGGTGGTTATGAGTGGTGATGGTAGACACAGTTACTAGGCATGTGGGAGGGGGGATTGAAGTGTCAGTGGTAGTGTATTAAATCCACCACCGTGCACGATATTGATTATTACCATAGGGTATATGAGGGTTAGGGTGTGGATTGTGTTCTATGGTGGATGTGAGCCATCATATTCAGACAGTCCTTGTATTATAGTGTCAGCCGTTTAGCTGGCTGGATTGTGTTTATATATTTTGTTATTGAGTTTCTTAATTTGGGTTCAACAGAGCATGTACGCGAGGATGAATTACAACTGGACATGTTGAATGATGAAGACAGAATAAAGCATTAGATGGTGAGCTGCCTAGTATTAGCCAGTAGGCCTGCTGCAGTGTTCATCCATTCTTATGTTTGTGTTAAGATAAGATAAGATTTCGTTCGGATTTTTAACCCCGGAGGGTTAGCCACCCAGGATAACCCAAGAAAGTCAGTGCGTCATCGAGGACTGTCTAACTTATTTCCATTGTGGTCCTTAATCTTGTCCCCCAGGATGCGACCCACACCAGTCGACTAACACCCAGGTTCCTATTTGCTGCTAGGTGAACAGGACAACAGGTGTAAGGAAACGTGTCGAAATGTTTCCACCCACCGGGAATCGAACCCGGGCCCTCCGTGTGTGAAGCGGGAGCTTTAGCCACCGGGCCACCGGGCTACCTAAGACGTCATCTACATAAAGCAGGCGCCAGACATGATTCAAAATAAATTTCCACATGACTTATTTATTTCCATTGGAGACCTGGTGGTTGATAGTCTACTATTCCCACCAGTGAGCTACTCACTATAGCAAATAAAACACTCAAGGGCCGACTTAGTATTTCTTCATCCAAAAATTAAACTTCAGAAAATCTGGAAACCTAGTAAATGCTTATAATAAATACTATTCCAGTTCAGTGTGATAATTTAAATATGTAAATTATTATAAATTATATAACTGTTTAAAGATAAGATATTTATTTAATTAATTTATTTATCTTATCTATGTATCCACTCTGCCAATTTTATTTTTTTTATTTAATGTAGCTGAAATCTTTATTTTTTTCATAATATAATCAAATGAGAACTGCATAATTGTTTAATTTGTGTTTTCAACTATGATATCAGTATATTGGGGAAAAGTGTTTTCGTTACAATCTAAATTAAGGTAGAGGATTGTCAAATTAAGGGGTGGATTTGTGGCAGCAAGGGTTCATCATCCTGCCCTTTGCAGGTTTTGAGTGAGTGTTAACAGAGTGTGGGGGTTTAGTGTTCTTTGGATTGGTGTGGTATAAATTATGTTGCTATTGTAAATTGTGAACGTTTTGACAATGGTCCTTTTATTGGGCAACATTTTTGTGCTAGCGTGCATTTATGTATTGTGTAAGTTTTTAAATAAAATATAAAAAAATATATAAATCAGAGGTAAGCGTCTGTTATTTACATATATTTTTTAGTGTCAAAATTAACTAAGTAAGTTTATTCAGATTAAATATATAGCTACGCTGATGTACGTGGGTAATGAGAGGGCTAGAGCCCTTAGTAACAAGTTTATTACACACCCATCATACAAGATGGTCTTACACTGTAAGATATCATGTTACATTACACGGGATGGATTAAAAAGAAGTAATATTTGTAATTATTTCAAATATTTCAGTCATCATTTTTAAACAAACAGCATTTAATAACAAAGAAATAAATGAAAGTTTTTTATATAAAAGTATCTTGTAATAGTAGATATAAAAAATCTATGTATGATTTCACAAGTTAAATTAATTAATGGTACAGTACATGAATTTACAAAAGCATAAATCTTTATCAGATGTGTTGCGTGGAGGTGGTGATGGCGGGTGAGGCAGCAGCGTCACTCGTCCACTCTCTCTGCCGCCACACACCAAGCAGCATCACTCTGGACACTCCTCTCCATCACCCCGACACCGGTAAGATCCTCACTTAGTGGCCTTCTTAGCTGTATTAATACACTTAGAGGAGGTTCCTTGACTCCTGAGAGATGGCCTTGATCCAAGGGATTGGAATTTATTGCTTTCTTTATTCGAACCTCATTGTTCCCCCCCCCCCTTCCTCCATGCGTTGTGCAGCCCATGTGGGTTTACGGGTCCCCTATGAATGGAACCAACTTTAAATTAGGTAAATAGTTTACAATTAGTAGTTCAGTAATAATAATGGAAGTTAATTGTATTTAAGTGATCAAATTTGAACTTCCATGCTGCACGTGTTATATATAACCCCAGGGTACTGCTGCTCCACCTACCATAGTTTCATATTGACGTGCTCTTGATCCAGGAAATTTCTGTTCAAATCTTATTCCTTTCCATCCTCTGCGTTATAGGACCTGTGAATTGCCATTGCGTTGACCTGGGTTAGCACTAGTATAAGAACATAAGTAACATTACAGCAGGCCTATGGGCCCATGTGAGGCAGGTCCATGTCGCCTACCCAGCCAGGTTCTACGGGGATAGACTGAGGTCCCTAAATCTGCACTCTAGAAAAGCGTAGAATTAGGGGGGATATTATTGAGGTATATACATGGGAAAACAGGAACAAAGGACATGTAGATAACGTGGTAAAAATATGTAGCCAAGACAGGACTGGCAGGAATATTTGGAAGTTGGAGAAATTTAGATTCGGAAAGGATATAGAAAATCACTGGTTTGGTAATAGTTCTGAATGAGAAACAAACTCCAGAGTGGTATAAACCTTGGTAATAAATACCGACAAGTTGGTTTAGAAAGACACGTAAGCAAACACTATAACATTTATTAGAAAACGTTTCGGTCCTGGGACCTTGATCACTTCTAACATACAGAGGTAGGAAGACATTATATATAGGCGGAGAGTGAGGTGTGACGCACGTGACCTGAGGAATGTCCTAAGAACATAAGAATGGAGGAACACTGTAGAAGGCCTACTGGCCCATGCGAGGCAGGTCCTTATCAAAAACAACCTCTGCCTATGATGAGGACGGGTAGACGATGAAACCCGTGACCCCTGTGTTGTTGGGTTGGTGCTGAAGTATCATGTATGCCAATGTTTTTGAAATTTTGTAGTTTCCAGTGTTGCGTTCTATAGTGTCGGTGACTTCACCGACACTATAGAACGCAACACTGGAAACTACAAAATTTCAAAAACATTGGCATACATGATACTTAAGCACCAACCCAACAACACAGGAGTCACGTGGTTTCATCGTCTACCCGTCCTCATCATAGGCAGAGGTTGTTTTTGATAAGGACCTGCCTCGCATGGGCCAGTAGGCCTTCTACAGTGTTCCTCCATTCTTATGTTCTTATGACATTCCTCAGGTCACGTGCGTCACACCTCACTCTCCGCCTATATATAATGTCTTCCTACCTCTGTGTTAGAAGTGATCAAGGTCCCAGGACCGAAACGTTTTCTAATAAATATGTTAGTGTTTGCTTACGTGTCTTTCTAAACCAAACTCCAGAGTACCGTCGTTGAAGCTGAAACTTGCACTCTTAAAAATAGGTTAAATACACGGGTACCTGGAGTGAGTTCCGGGGGTCAACGCCCCCGCGGCCCGGTCTGTGACCAGGCCTCCTTAGGTCAGTGTCCCAGGATGCGACCCACACCAGTCGAGTAACACCCAGGTACCCATTTTACTGATGGGGAACATAGACAACAGGTGGAAAGAAACACGTCCAATGTTTCTACTCTGGCTGGGAATCGAACCCAGGCCCTCACCGTGTGAAGCGAGAGCGTTAAACACCAGGCCACCAGGGTAGGTGCGAGTACTTTTAAAAATAGGTTAAATACACGGGTAGGTGCGAGTTGGACTTGACTAGCTTCGGCTAATAGATCTGATGCAGTGCTCCATCCTTAAGTGAATGTGATTTAGACCTGACTAGCTTAGGCCGGTAGGTAATTTGGACCTGCCTCGCGTGGGCCAGTAGGCCTACAGTGCTTTTTCTTTTGTCTTTCAGCCGACAATAAAAATTATCCACACATTTGTTCATAATACGGGAGACTTGTATGAAAATAGATTTTAGCCGTATATACATAAAAATTACTGAGCCAGCTAGGACGCTGGCCCCATGCTAGGCATGTCTACCTGGAGTCTATCTGGAGGGAATTCCGGGGATCAACGTCCCCGCGGCCCGGTCCACGACCAGGCCTCCCGGTGGATCAGGGCCTGATCAACGAGGCTGTTACTGCTGGCCGCACGTAATCCAGCGTACGAACCACAGCCCGGCTGATCGGCACCGTTCTTAGGTATCTGACCAGCTCCCTCTTGAAGATAACCAGGGGTCTTCCCGTAATGCCCCTTATTGCTGGTGGGAGGCTGTTGAACAGTGTTTGTCAGTCGCCCATTTGTCTACTTAAGTCCACCAAAGGTTTTTGCTTGAAAGATGCTAAGTTTGTTCCACTTCTCCACAACTCCTATTCTTCTGTATCCTTTCTAAATTCAAATTTAGATAATTTAAGCACGTGTTTGGTTCAGAAACCTAAAAGTTGATAAATTAGACACATGTGCAACACTTGGGTATCTTTAACGAGGAAACATTTCGTCACAGTGCATAATTACCTCAAACTCCGCTTTCTTCACCATTTTCCTTTGGACTGATGAAGCCACTGTGTGGGGAAACGTTTCCTCACTAAAGATACCAGTGCTGCCTTCAGTATATTGATCTCATTCCCCTAATTCCATGCCTTAAGAACAGTGTGCCTCTACAATCTGGAATTCTTTATCAGAAGACTTAGATGAAGTCTACTATATCACCTCTTAATACCTGTATGCAGAGAAGTAAGCTAGTAAGGCAGAAATCCCCCTCTGTAAAACAGTTAAGAGATTTGTTGTTTACTTTGGCAAGTGATTATTTTTGCCAACTATAGCAAACCGTTTAATTTTTTTTTTTTTGGGGGGGGGGAATACCTTGGTTTTTTTTAATAACCTCCACCTTCCAATCCATAAGTTTTAATTTCTAGGTACTGTGTACAGAGTAAATCGAACTTGGTGTATGGACTCTCCTATTTATGGTGGAGTGGTGTGTGTGTGTGTTTGTGTGTGTTTGTGTGTGTTTGTGTGTGTTTGTGTGTGTTTGTGTGTGTGTTTGTTGTGTTTTGTGTGTTTGTGTGTGTTTGTGTGTGTTTGTGTGTGTGTTTGTGTGTGTGTTTGTGTGTGTGTTTGTGTGTGTGTTTGTGTGTGTGTTTGTGTGTGTGTTTTGTGTGTGTGTTTGTGTGTGTGTTTGTGTGTTTGTGTTTGTGTGTGTGTTTGTGTGTGTGTTTGTGTGTGTTTTGTGTGTGTGTTTGTGTGTGTTTTGTGTGTGTGTTTGTGTGTGTGTTTGTGTGTGTGTTTGTGTGTGTGTTTGTGTGTGTGTTTGTGTGTGTGTTTGTGTGTGTGTTTGTGTGTGTGTTTGTGTGTGTGTTTGTGTGTGTGTTTGTGTTGTTTGTGTGTTGGTGTGTGTGTTTGTGTGTGTGTTTGTGTGTGTGTTGTGGGGTGTGTGTGTGTTTGTGTGTGTGTGTTTTTGTGTGTGTGTTGTTTGTGTGTGGTGTGTTTGTGTGTGTGTGTTTTGTGTGTTTTGTGTTTGTGTGTGTGTGTTTGTGTGTGTGTTTGTGTGGTGTGGTGTTTGTGTGTGTGTGTTTGTGTTTGTTTTGTGTGTGTGTGTGTGTGTGTGTGTGTGTGTGTGTGTGTTGTGTGTGTGTGTGTTTGTGTGTGTGTTTGTGTGTGTTTGTGTGTGTGTTTGTGCGTGTGTTTGTGCGTGTTTGTGTGCTTGGGTGTGTGCGTGTTTGTGTGTGTGCGGTGTTTGTGTGTTTGTGTGTTTGTGTGTTTGCGTGTACTCGCCTAGTTGAGGTTGCGGGGGTAGAGTCCGAGCTCCTGGCCCCGTGTGTGTGTGTTGTAGTTGTAATTATAACTAACAGTTATAGTTAGAGTAAACATTTGAGTTATAAGCCAGCTCCCCATCAACCCAAAACCTAGACACCTCCCTTGTTTATTTATGATTTCGTGCTTTAATTCCATGGAAATCATCCTCTTTTTCTTCTCAGCACTGTCCTTTACACTTTGACCCATGGTTAGAAAAGCAAAATTTGGCAAATGACTGTCAAAAATGTAAGGAAAGCAGGAGAGAACTGCTCCCACAGCTGGGTAAACGGTACACTGAATTGGCTTCGGTCTGAAGCTCTCATTATAATTTATTAATTTAGGGAACTGACGCTCTATCAGTGTCGAGGCTCCTTGATGCTGGTGAGGAGCTCTTGGTCTAGGGAATTGGATATGTACTAGAGTTCTCTAAATTAAATAGTAATAATAAAAATAGTAATTATAATAGCGATAGCTTCAGTTCCCTAAGTTATCAATAATTATTTTTATCACAATTACGTACATATTATGTGCATGTACATAATAACTATGAATGCTGCTGCTACTTGGCCAGCTGATTTCGGAACATCCGGTAAGCAGTACACATGTTTACATTGTTCTGGGAACAGTTCTCTCCTGCCTTACGTTTTTGAGTCATTTGGCCAAATTTCACTTCTCTAACCATGGGTCCTAAGAAAATAAGTGCAAAGGACAGTGCCGAGAAGAAAGAGGGCGATTTCCATGGAATTAAAGAATGAAATCGTAGATAAACATAAGCAAGGTGCACGAGTTGTGGATTTAGCCAGGCAGTACCAGCGAAGTACATCTATGTACGATACTAAAGGAGTCGATAAAAGCTATAGCATCAGCCAAGGGCGTTGCAATGTCTAAACTACGGACCTGTCTATGAAAAGATGGAGACCCTGCTGCTGATGTGGTTGAGAGAAAAGCAGCTCGCAGGAGATGCCATGACTGAGGGTATCATCTGCAAGAAGGCATGAGGCAGTGAAAATAAGAAGTGAAAAGTTAAACAAAACAAATTGTACCAGTTATCTTATGTGATTTAGTGTTGTATACAATATTTTCAGTGTTTTCCTTAGAAAACTAGTGATCTACTGCTGTTAGCCTCAAAAATACTGTTCTCTTAAAATAAGAGTATGGGAAGATACTATATATGTAATCAAAGATGGACAGGAAATGGTGGACTCCTCCACTGCTTCCTCTGCCACCATATTACGGCCTATTTTATTCATTCTAGGGTATATATCTTTGTGTTAATTATATTGTTTGTTGTATTAGAATTAGATGAATTGATAGATAAATAAGCCATACAGATGATAATAGCAGCTCCTGCAACGGATTAAACTCTTTAAGTCACGGTTCCACTATACTTAATTTGAAATGTTGGTTACACTGGACAAATCATGGTTGCCTTGCGTCTGTAATAGTTAGGTGTATGGCATTTAAAATTCAATAAATGTGGTTGGTCTTCAAGCAAACCATAAGGGTAGTAAATATTCTCTTGCTAAATTTTTCACAAAAAAAAAAAAAAACTTGTAAAAATGAATCGTGACCCTTTACCCAAGATACTGTTTACCTAGGTAACTTAAAATGTATGTTGCAAAAGTTTTCTAAATTTAAGTTTTTGAACAAAGGAAATGGGCAGCATTTTTGGTATATTTTTAAACTGCCCCTAAGAGCCTTTTATAGGATAGCAGTGAAGCAGTAGTGGAGCCATGCAGCTGGTGTTGACAAGAGTCCACAAGTGATAGGCCTGGTTTGAAGAGCAAAATATAGTATGGTCTAGGGCATTTTGCAGTCTTACATTCATGAAACTTCCAGAATATAAACTTGCACTAGGCTTAAGCTTTAATTGTCCCTTCCCTAGTAGGAAAAAAAAAAAAATTCTTGAACCCAGGTGTACATGTAGTGTTATAAAATTAGTAATATATACTTAAGCACTTTAGTTTTGCATTGGATTTTGTCTGTTAAGACACATCTGCTTTCAGCCCTGGGCATAATGAACAGAAATGACAATTTATATTTAAATTTCAGCACCCTCGCCTAGTGACTCTTCTGCTTGCAAAATGCTAGGAAATTTTAGTACCCAGCAAGGCATGTGTAAGTCTGATGGGAGCTTCAAGAAATAGCTTGCTGGTTGAAATAAACAGGCTGGAGACTAAACAGCTGGGAGAATTCACTGAAGTTCTAAGAGGCTGGCTTCAGAATATGGTAAGTTTGATATGCTTTGTAAGTATGGAGATAATTTAGTCAATTCTAATGTGCCTGAAAAATATGATGAAATTACATTTTCCAAGTTTGTGGTTTCCAACAGAAGACTTTGTCTAATGGTGGTTTGTGGTGTCTGATAATTACTGCTATTTTTAAAGAAAAAAAACCAAGTGGGGTTTTCTTTTAACACTTCATTTCTTTATTACAGTATCTACTAGACTGCTAAATACCAGGTAAGGCTACCAAGGCTCAGGTCTGTTTTTTCCAAATTATAGAAACATTGCACTTGCAGATTTTTTTTACTTAAAATTAATGTTCCTAACAGGTTGGCATGATAATTTGGTAGTTAATATGCTGTATAAGTAAGTTATGTTGAATAGTCAATTTGTAAATGACCTGAAGAAATGATGAAATTACATTTTCCAAGTTTGTGGTTTCCAACAGAAGACTTTGTCTAATGATGGTTTCTGGTGTCTGATAATTACTGCTACTTTTAAAGAAACAAAGAAAGTGGGGTTTTCTTTTAACATTTCATTTCTTTATTACAGAATCTACTAGACTGCTAAAATACCAGGCAAGACTACCGAAGCTTGTGTAATGTTTTAGGAAAAAAAATTAGCAACTTTGTGACAGTATTAAAATAACTGTCTCTTCATTAAATGTAATGTTGCAGGTAAGTGGCCAAGCTATCATGGACAGAAATATTAACTTGGTATTCTATTTTCATGAATTAGTGCTACTGGTAATGACTAGTCAGCAGTTAATTGCCAATACTTTGTGTATATATAGGGGTAGCTTTATGGATAGAGAAATTAATTAGTTTGGACATTAAGGGGCGGTACAAGGTGTGCGGCACGTGAGCGAAATTTATTTGAAAAAATTATGGAAATTGTTTTTCATATAGAAAAACAGTAACTGGCAACACAATGGTACCAGAATTGATGTTCAACGACGTTTCTACAAGAAATTATTCATACCAGGTATGGTGACGGCGATGTGCGTAGCGTGTCTGCTCTCAGCCCATACATTTTTTGGAATTTTTTCCTTTATTTTTTATCGCTTTTTCTTGCCTTATTCTTTCTAATAGACTATTTGTCATCATAAAAAAGTAGGCGGAGCTTATCTGTAGACTTCTAGCCAATCTGGAACCATTGGGGAACACCACAGTATTTCCACTCTAGAGTGGCTTATTTATCTATCAGAATTGATCTAATATGATATAATACACTATAAATAATGAACACGTTATATACTCTAGACTGAATAAAATGGGCCATATGGCGAGAGTCCACCAGCAATATTAGATATAAAATTATTACCCCTCGTCTCCATGTCGTATTTTTTGGCCTTCAGTAAGAGAAAACAGTGTTTTGAAGAGGATAACTCCAGTAGAACATCAGTTTACTAAGGAAACCACCGAAACAAATGGGACTTTTGCGGAAAAACAATTGAGATGGCGGGCCGGCCGGCGTTCCAGGCCTATATCTCGGAAGTAACTTATTCACTTATTTCGCTTAACTACGCCTTTATTACTTAAGTAGGATAATATTCACAGAAATTGCAAAATGATTCTTTTAATGATGCACTTTTTGAAATATTCCAAATATTTTGGGATTGATGGAGTAAAGGGCAGGTTTTTTTTTTTTTTTTTTTTTTGCACTAAAGTCTAAGAACTAAAACTTTATATTTTTTTTTTTTTGGTGGAATAAAGGAAAGATATTTAGAGGAAAGTGCATCGTTAAAAAATCGTATTAGCATTGTTCTCGGTACGAAGTGCCCAAACAACCTTACGTCGTCCCATATAGGACTACCATCCTGCCAAAGGATATTTTTTAATTTTTTTGTTTGGCATATCTTGACAAATATTTTCAGTAAATAGTGTATGTACACCGTCTTGTGCATCAAGAATGAAAGAAATCTGAGGGTAAAAAAATGGACCAAAGTTATACTGCCCCTTAATGTTGTCCAAAGAAATTTAGGAATGGCAAGTGTTTGAAATTTGTTAGCACGGGTAAAATATCAACTTTCATGCTACGGATGATAACTTTTGTATGAATCCTGCAGTCACTACACAGCAAAGCCAGAAATGGTTGAACCCATTGTTGTGGACTAAAGGGTATGTGTCAATCTTGCTAAAATGCTGTCTGATTATACTAAAGGTTGATTTAAGGAAATTAATGGAAGTTCAGATTGCTAATTAAATATTTCTTGCAGGAGGAAGTCCTGATTAAGAAGTGGTCTGGATACTGTAATAGGTTAGTGTCAAAATGTCTTGTTGCTAATGTAACTTGGGTAGTTTGAAGGTAAACTAAAGAATGAAAGCTCAAAGTATAACGCTCATTTTACACTACGTACTTTCTTTTCTCGGCTGATGGAAGGCATTGTAATGCAATTATGCAGTCCTAACATGATTGATAATTATTACTTGATATCTCTGAGAGAAGTCAAAAGGATTCTGAGATTAAAAAAGAAAAAAAAAAATTAGTGTGCTGGATCTGTACTAAATATATACTATACACTTCCAGATTGGTGCAGTTGGAAGCCATTTTACACAACCTTAGGTATGTATCAGCATGCAGTTATATGACACATTTTTATTTTTTTTTTCTTCATAATAGTGTTCTTTGATAATTTAAGAATCTGTAATGTTTAAAAGACTGATGCTTTATTTTGTTTGGAAATTGACAAGTATATCATAGTTGAATTGTTGAAATTTGATTTGATTACTCCCTGGCCTTCAACCGGAATCCTCCCTTGCTTTCAAATTCTGAGCTGTATTAATTTTAAAAACTTGTCAGATCAAGCCACACTGCAAATGTTTGCATATACAGCCTGTGGAAGTAGGGCAAAGTAATGTAAACTAAATGAAATAAAACTCGCTTTTCCTCCATAACAGTTCTAGACAAATTGTGGGTGAATTTCACAGGTACAGTCCTGAAATATTTTACTTACATAACTGGAGAGAACTAGCACATCTAAAACAGAATGAACTTGCTGTTATAGTTGTACCTCAGTGACTTTAGCAACAGTGGGTCACTGCACTGTCCCTCCTTTAACCCTTTCAGGGTTGCTGTACTAGTACGCATAAATTCTAGCACCTTCAGATCTAGCAAGAGAAAGCTGGTAGGCCTACATATGAAAGAATGGGTCTGTGGTCAGTGTGCACAGTATAAAAAGAATCCTGCAGCAACTGTTTTTGCTTTAAAACAGCAACTTTGCAGTGTATTTTCTTAGGCTATTTATGGTTGTATTCTAGTCTTTCTAGTCTCATTTTATAGAATGGAAGATATATTACGGAAATTGAGACGATTTTGATTGGTTTCACAACTAAAAGTGCCTTGAAATTGAGCTCAGTAGCAGAAATGTTTTGGTTTTTGCCAAAGTTCAAAAGTAAACAAATCATGCCACACGTCCAATACATGTCAACTGGCGAGTCTAATATTCTTTCACAAGTGTGCTGATATTATTTATACCATTTCTAATGTAGTCTGCATAACGGTAAATCTTTAATATTTTTGCAAGAATAAAAATTCAAAGTGGAAAGCAAAAGTAATGGAAGAGACCTGTGGACGTGACTCATGAACAGAAAAAAGGTATTTTAGTGCCAGGAGTGTCTTGTTTATTCTGGACCCTATTTGGAAATTGGCAGCTTTTGAAAGTTGTGTGAAATTGACAAAACTGCCAATTTTTGACCACTTCATTGGATAGTTGAAATTGGTAAGAGTGGTTTCTTGTACTTGTTACATAGAAAAAGTGGAGTTCTATCGAAATGGTTGATTTGTCTACTGGTACATTGGAATTGGCCGGAAATAGGGCCTAGTGGGTGAAATTACTGATGCGTAAACTTCGTGGAGACCGCTAACTTTGCGAGGGCATAGTTCAGTAAGTTTTCCATCAGACTTCATACTTTTGGTGTCTTTATGATCAAGAGAAGATTCTCTATCATTTCATAAGAAAAAAATTTTTTTCTTTCCCAGAAATTTCCAACCCTGAGAACAAGTTTAGGAGAGGGCCTGCCAACCCTGAGAGGGTTAATGCCCTCCTCAGCTCCCCAAATTCATCTGGACCTTTAATTATATGAACCTCTCATTCTTTAATTTATTAAATGAAATTTTCAGCCAGTAATGCTGCTTATTTATTTAGTTGTAGACTGTATTACTGAAATTTGGTTGTCCAATCCTAACTAAAGTAACTGACTAAACCATACCACGGGCGGGATTTGAACCCGCGGCAAGTCTCAAAACTAAAGTAATTTGTTGGTCCCATTTAAACAATATACCATTTTCATATTACATAAAATTGTGCATAAATGCATAACATAAGGACTACTTGCAGTTATCTTGATATATCATAATACCTCCATAGCAGGTGGGTATGCTAAATATTGGCCACTACTAGATACCATACCTATTTTGTGGGTTGATACCCTATATAAGGAGGCAAAAATTAAACTTCTGTAGGTACGTTTAATCAAAACTTAGTCCAATCCCTGCCTCCAGTATTTTCATTATCAGCCTTATTATGGCCAGATTAGTATGCATTTGAACCCTTCCAGTTGCCTATTTACTCATTTTATGGTCCTCGGTTATTGCAGGTATACAGTGGTCCCTCGGTTATCAGCCATAATCAGTTCCAGGTCAGCCTAAAACCGAAATGGCCGAAAACGGAAATATTTACCCTAAGAATTAATGTAAATACAATTAATCCATTCCATGACCAAAAATGTTAACAAAAAATACATTTTTTGAAGATTTTTACGTACACAACAATGAGAACTAAATAAAATAGTACGTTAACAATTAAATCGCCATTACATACCTTCATTGAAGACTCCTGTAAGTTACAGAAAGTGTAAATAAAGCGAAATTTTTTTTTTTTTGGGGGGGGGGGGGGATATTTGTGTACCTGGGCTGCTGCATATAATAGGCCTATATCTCGGGAGTAAGTTATTTACCTGTTTGGAGCCACAGACCAAATATTTATGGAGAAATTGACCTGATTTTCACAACATAGAAGCACAATTGCTCTACAAGCACTTGTTAAGATTTTTGACGTATCCTAAATATTTTCAGATTTGTGGATAAACAAGGGCGATATCTTCCTAAATGTTAAGAAACATAGGAACTATTTTTTCTAGAACTAATAAGGTTTATTATGAGGAAGGATGGAGTTAGTGCTCTCAGCAGTTTGTCAAAACCACTTTTCCAAGTACCACTTTAGCTCTATGCCCTGCCAAGTGTAATTTTTTGTAAATTTATTTTTTTTTTGATTTTCACCCGATCTTTCTGGCACTTCGTCAAATCGGTTGATATAAGCTTCTGTTAGTACACCAAAATTGAACAAAATCGGTCTACAAATAAGTGGACAAATTTTTGTTTACACGCCCCTAAGCGCAGACCGATTACTGGGATTTATATAAAGTGTAAGGAACAGAAGTTCAGCAATTGCATTACAGCTTTATACATCATTAGTAAGCTCAGTTCTGGTCTCCATATTACAGAATGGACATAAATTTGTTAGGAAACATTCGGCATAGAATGACGAAATTAATACATAACATTAGAAATCTTCCTCGTGAAGAAAAATTGAAAGACCATTTAACCCTCAAACTGTCCAAACATAGATCTACGTTCACATGTGTACTGCTTCAAAAGTAGATCTGTTTTTTTTTTTTTTACATACTTTCAAATGTAGATCTACATTTGGACAGTTTAAGGGTTAAATTACATTAACTTGTCAGATGAAGAATGAGGGGAGACATGATCGAAATGTGGAAGATGGGTATTAATCAAGGGGATATAAATAGTTTTGAGGACCTACAGTAATGTATTCAAATTAGAGAAGTTTAGATTTAGAAGGGATATAGGAAAGTATTGGTTTGGAAATAAGGTAGTTGAGTGGAATAGTGTGCTAAGTTGGGTTATTGAGGCTGAAACCTTGTAGTTTCAAATATAGGTTGGATAAATACTTGACAGGGGTTGGATTTGATTGGGACTTGCATGCAAGTGGATAGTTATCAGAGCTTTTCTTGGGGTAGCATTGAAATTTGGGTTGAGCAAATATTTTTGGTGGGATGGATTGTGAAGGACCTGCCTAGTATGGGCCAACAGGCCTACTGCAGTGTTCCTCCTTTGTTCTTACGTATTGTAGAATTGGGCAATTTCAGTTTTACTGTAACTACAATCTGGCAAATTAAAGGCTTTTTATTTTTTTAATAGTGATGAGATTTGACACCTCTTCTGAGACCATTATGCTGTACATGGTTGAACTGAAAAAAAAATAATAAAATAAAAAAAAAATAATGTACATTGTTACACTAAATAAATGTTTTTCCTTTTGTTTCAGGAATTGGAAAGTGCTTGGAATTTCTTGTGAGTAAAATGGACAGTTCATAATGTCATTAAACTATTCTGAAAGCTTTTCTTCATGTCATAACCCCTTTGTGTTAATCAGTCAGTACAAAACCGTGCCAGGAATGGTAACCCAGTTTTATGGGCTAGTGTCAATCTTGCCAAAATGCAATATCTGTATTAATATACTTGCATCTACCTTTAAGTAGAGATTACTAATTGATCTTTTCCTGCAGGAGTCGTTATGATTGCTTTGCCTTTGAATGGTATTTTTATTCTACTGGAGCCCAGACCTGGGCAAGGCTTATCGAATCAACTAGGCTGTTGCTTCTGGCCTACATGTCCACCACAGCCTGGTTGACCTGACACCTGGTGATAATTGTCCAGTTTCATCTTTAAGATTTCTGCATTTGTCAGTGTTCTCAATCTGGTAAGATATTCAGATTGGTTCGAGTACTGGTAGATTAGTGTCAAATGTACGTTGGAAGTTGTTCATGTGACTTAATGATGAGAAATATTTATCTTGACTCCTGAATTAAAGCTCAACAGGACTGACATACCTTAAGTAAAGGTCTGATATGTAGCTTAGGTGAAAACTAATTCTATTAAATTTTCCCAGGTGGAGGCTGGTGCTCTGATGTGAAAAGGTAATTATGGTATCCTGTTGGCATTAAATTGTAGTTGCTTTATTTGAGAGAAACCAAAAAGATTTAAAGTAATTTTATGATGACTTGTGTATCAAAATATTTATGTTGACATAATAAATTCCTCGTTTCTGATAGATTAAGAAGCTTAATTATATAGTTGAGTTTAGCAGGGGACTGATGCTCTTTTCTTTTTTTCCAGAGGGACAAATGTATCATGGGTAAGTTGCTGCCTGCACACTTTCACTTTCATTAGACCTAGAGCTCCATTCTGTGAACTTTGTTTAATCAGTGTGTGAGCGAGTGTGTGAGTGAGCGCGTGTGTGAGCGAGCGTGGGGGTGTGTGTACTCGCCTATTTGTGGTTGCAGGGGTCGAGTCAGCTCCTGGCCTCGCCTCTTCACTGATTGCTACTAGGTCCTCTCTGCTCCATGAGCTTTATCGTACCTCGCCTTAAAACTATGTATGGTTCCCGCCTCCACTACTTCACTTTCTAGGCTATTCCACGGCTTGACTACTCTGACTGAAGAAATACTTCCTAACACTGGTTTTTAATGAGCAGTGCAACTCCTCCCTCTGTCTGATATCCTGATGGAAAGATTGAATCTGTTATTATTCTGGTGAGTTTTGTTTGCGAGTGCTATGTTTGGGGGATGTCTCCTTGATTCTTTCGTGCCACTCCTCATACTTTTGTTTTTCCATCTGCATTTGTATACCACACCTTCAACTTCTTTTCTAAGATTGTGGTCTGGGAGGTGTATTGGGGTTGGGGAAGTGGGAGACCTGATGAGGAACTGTGGGTGGTTGCTGCGGGGGTGGAGTTTGTAATGCAGTGAGTGGGGGCATTGGATATGGCATGGGTGTTTTGGTTTAGTGTTTGGCTGCACTGGGGTTGACCTGGTTGGGAGGCTTCTATAGGAAGTTGAGGGAGGCTGTATTTGATCTTCCTGTGTCTGGGATCTCCTGTCTTCTCCATCCCCTCTTTCCTCCTTTCGCCTTTGTACTATCTGTTTCTGCTTGTGTTTTGTGGCGGTAGAGATACACCTTCCTGTATGCCGGCATGTCCCTTAATCGTGCTTTCTCCTGAAGGATCCTGTTCAGAGTGGGTTCTGCCTTGAAGGTCACTTTCACTGGCTGGGTGTTTTTTTTACAACCCCCCCCCCCCCCCCCCTATTCTCCAAAAATTTTCCAGCTCGATTGTCTTCTATTGCTTTCATGATGCTTTCAATTGCTTTTTCTCCTTGTTTTCTTGCTTCATGTGCTTCCCCCCTTCAACTCACCCATTCATTCTCCCACTGCATATCCCTGTGTATCCCCTCATTCAATTTGATTTCCTCCATTTCAGCTTTCCTTTCTTCAGTTTCACTAGCTAATGTACTTTGGCTCAGTGGCCTGTCATTTTCCCTTCCCAGCTTTCCCTGTGGTCTGTTAGGGCCTCCACATATAGCTTAGCTCTTTCATTTACTAGTCTCCACTGATTGAGTTTCTACATGCAGTTTTGCTCCTTTCCCTACAGTTTCCTTATTTGTGACTGAGGTAGCAGTCTCTGTTGTCAATCCCAAAATGTTCTTTAGTTCTTCAGGCTGTTTCAGATTTTTCAGTTCCTCTTCTAAACTCTGTATCCTGGTCTCTGCTTTGACTTGCACCTCCCACTTCCTGCTTTCCATGTCTATCCTCTCTTCCATTCTCATGCTAAGTTCTTCTAGTTTCTTTTCCCATTCATGTTCCCTTTTTGTGAGCTCTGCTGCCCAATTTTCCTTTGCAGTTTCCTCCTCCTGTCCCTTGGTTTTTCTTGTTGCTCTCTGGCAACCCATTTTTGTTTTATCCTGATGCCTCAGAGTGGGGAAACCTATGCAATTCTGTATGTTAGGTTAGTATTGTATGTCAGAGTGTGGGGGGGGGGGGGAGGTAGAGGAGGAACTGTGGCTATGTGGGAGAGTAGTGGGAGTGGGTGAGAGGGAGAGGTGGGGAGCGGGAGGGTGGAAGAGGGAGGGGAGGGATCAGGTGAAGGAGTGAGATGTCTGGGGAGGGGGGTGTATGTGAGAGTCTGGCAATGTGTTTGTGGTGTTGTGTTGGTTTGTGGTGTTGTTGGTTTGTGGTGTTGCGTTGTTGGTTTGTGGTGTTGCGTTGTGTTGGTTTGTGGTGTTGCGTTGTGTTGGTTTGTGGTGTTGCGTTGGTTTGTGGTGTTGCATTGTTGGGTTGTGGTGTGTGTTCGCTTAGTTACCATATTGTCCTAGTGCAGGTGTATGTACGTACTCGCCTAGTTGTATTCGCCAAGTTGAGGTTGCGGGTGTAGAGTCCGAGCTCCTGGCCCCGCCTCTTCACTGATCGCTACTAGGTCACTCCCTGAACCGTGAGCTTTATCATACCTCTGCATCGATCCTGCCTCCACTACATTGCTTCCCAAACTATTCCACTTACTGACTACTCTGTGGCTGAAGAAATACTTCCTAAACATCCCTGTGATTCATCTGTGTCTTCAATCTCTGGAACATCCTGTCTTTGTCCACCTTGTCAATTCCTCTCAGTATTTTGTATGTCATTATCATGTCCCCCCTATCTCTCCTGTCCTCCAGTGTCGTCAGGTTGATTTCCCTTAACCTCTCCTCGTAGGACATACCTCTTAGCTCTGGGACTAGTCTTGTTGCAAACCTTTGCACTTTTAGTTTCTTTACGTGCTTGGCTAGGTGGGGTTCCTATGGGCCGAAAACTCCAATATGGCCCACGTACACGGGTTCAGTGTCCTGAACGATTCCTTTTAAGATGTCGGAATGATGATCTGGGTTGTGGGGCGCCATATGCTGAGCAGTTTTTTTGGTCGTGTGCGCTTAAAATGTCCCTGGTGTTTATCGCCCCAAGATTTTTTTCCTCGAGTGAGGTTGTAGTCGGGCCCCCCCTAAACTGTACCATCTGGGGTCTTCTTTGCCCTTCCCAATCTTCAGATTTTTGCACTGGTGCGTTTAAACTCCAGGACCCAAGCGGACCAGGTCGCGATGCCAGTCCCTTTTGTGTTTGCCGGGTCTTCGTAGTAAAATTCCCCGTCAAACCTGTCATTGCAAACAGGGACACTTCGGAGTTTTCCTTCAGTCTTCGTTCACAATACCAGAAAACAGCCTGGTCAGGCCCCCGGGGGTCACAGGTGCCCCTCTGACACCCCGCCACGTACCACGACTCGCTGCTGTCTTCCTGACAAGTATTCCCTGATCCATTGCAGTGCCTTCCCTGTTATCCCTGCTTGGTCCTCCAGTTTTTGAACCAATCTCTTGTGTGGAACTGTGTCGAGTGCCTTGCAGTCCAAGAATATGCAATCCACCCACCCCTCGTGTCTTACTGCTGTCACCATGTTATAGAACTCCAGTAGGTTTGTGACACAGGATTTCCCATCCCTGAAACCATGTTGGCTGCTGTTGACGAGATCATTACTTTCTAGGTGTTCCACCACTCTTCTCCTGATAATCTTCTCCATGATTTTGCATACTATACATGTCAGTGACACTGGTCTGTAGTTTAATGCTTCATGTCTGTCTCCTTTTTTAAAGATTGGGACTACATTTGCTGTCTTCATCTCAGGCAATCTCCGTTTCGATAGATGTATTGAATATTGTTATTAGGGGTACACATAGCGCCTCTGCTCCCTCTCTCAATACCCATGGGGAGATGTTATCTGGCCCCCATTGCCTTTGAGGTATCTAGCTCACTCAAGCCTCTGCACTTCCTCCTTGGTTGTGTGCACTGTCCAGCACATGGTGTGCCCCACCTGTGTGTGTGTGTATGGGGGAGGTGTGAGGGGGAAATACTGCTAACGTGTGTGTGCGCGCGCGCGTGCCTACATGACTATTCTACTGCCTTGCTGGCATTTCTAAAAATGCTTAGGCTTTAATTGTCCCTTCCCTAGTAGGCCAAAAAAAAAAAAAAAATTGAACCCAGGTGTACATGTAGTGTTATAAAATTAGTAATGTATACGTAGGCACTTTAGTTTTGCATTGGATTTTCTGTTAAGACACCTGCTTTCAGCCCTGGGCATAATGAACAGATGTGACAATTTATATTTAAATTTCAGCACCCTCGCCTAGTGACTCTTCTGCTTGCAAAATGCTAGGAAATCTTAGTACCTGGCAAGGCATGTGTAAGTCTGATGGGAGCTTCAAGAAATGGCTGGCTGGTTGAAATCAATAGGTTGGAGACTGTAGACAGCTGGGAGAATTCACTGAAGTTCTAAGAGGCTGGCTTCAGAATATGGTAAGTTTAATGCGCTTTGTAAGTATGGTAGATAATTTAGTCAATTGTAACGTGCCTGAAAAAATATGATGAAATTACTTTTTCCAAGTTTGTGGTTTCCAACAGAAGTTTGTCTAATGATGGTTTGTGGTGTCTGATAATTACTGCTATTTTAAAAGAAACAAACAAACCAAGTGGTGTTTTCTTTTAACACTTCATTTCTTTATTACAGTATCTACTAGACTGCTAAATACCAGGTAAGGCTACCAGGCTCAGGTCTGTTTTTCCAAATTATAGAAACCTTGCACTTGCAGATTTTTTTACTTAAAATTAATGTTCCTAACAGGTTGGCATGATAATTTGGTAGTTAATATGCTGTATAAGTTATGTTGAATAGTTAATTTGTAAATGACCTGAAGAAATGATGAAATTACATTTTCCAAGTTTGTGGTTTCCAACAGAAGACTTTGTCTAATGATGGTTTCTGGTGTCTGATAATTACTGCTATTTTTAAAGAAAAAAACCAAGTGGGATTTTCTTTTAACACTTCATTTCTTTATTACAGTATCTACTAGACTGCTAAATACCAGGTAAGGCTACCAAGGCTCAGGTCTGTTTTTTCCAAATTATAGAAACCTTGCACTTGCAGATTTTTTTACTTAAAATTAATGTTCCTAACAGGTTGGCATGATAATTCGGTAGTTAATATGCTGTATAAGTTACGTTGAATAGTTAATTTGTAAATGACCTGAAGAAATGATGAAATTACATTTTCCAAGTTTGTGGTTTCCAACAGAAGACTTTGTCTAATGATGGTTTCTGGTGTCTGATAATTACTGCTATTTTTAAAGAAAAAAACCAAGTGGGATTTTCTTTTAACACTTCATTTCTTTATTACAGAATCTACTAGACTGCTAAAATACCAGGTAAGACTACCAAAGCTTGTGTAATGTTTTAGGAAAAAAATTAGGAACTTTGTGACAGTATTAAAATAACTGTCTCTTCATTAAATGTAATGTTGTAGGTAAGTGGCCAAGCTATCATGGACAGAAATATTAACTTGGTATTCTATTTTCATGAATTAGTGCTGCTGGTAATGATGACTAGTCAGCAGTTAATTGCCAATACTTTGTGTATATATAGAAGTACCTTTATGGATAGAGAAATTAATTAGTTTGGGCATTAAGGGGCAGTACAAGGTGTGCAGCACGTGAGCGAAGTTTATTCAAAAAAATTATGGAAATTGTTTTTCATATAGAAAAACAGTAGATCTGGCAACACAATGGCACCAGAATCGTTTCAACGACGTTTCTACAAGAAATTAGTCATATCAGGTATGGTGACGGCGATGTGCGTAGCGAGTCTGCTCTCAGCCCATACATTTTTTGGAATTTTTTCCTTTATTTATTGCTTTTTCTTGCATTATTCTTTGCAATAGACTATTTGTCATCATAAAGTAGGCGGAGCTTATCCGTAGACTTCTAGCCAATCTGGAACCATCGGGGAACACCACAGTATTCCCGCTCCAGAGAGTGGCTTATTTATCTATCAGAATTGATTTAATATGATATAATACACTATAGATAACGAACATGTTATATACTCTAGACTGAATAAAATGGGCCATAATATGGCGAGAGTCCACCAGCAATATTTGATATAAAATTATTACCCCTCGTCTCCATGTCGTATTTTTTTGGGCCTTCAGTAAGAGAAAACTGTTTTGAAGAGGATAACGCCAATAGAATAAGTTTACTAAGGAAACCACAAACAAACTGGACTTTCGCAAAAAAAAAAAAAAATTCGAGATGGCCGGCCGGCCAGCGTTCCAGGCCTATATCTCGGAAGTAACTTATTCACTTTAGTAACTACGCCTTTATTACTTGAGTAGGATAATATTCACAAATTTTTTGGGATTGATGTGGGAGTAAACCGCAGATTTTTTGCAAAAGTCTATTAACTAACAAACTTTTTTTTTTTTTGTGTGTGTGGAATAAAGGAAAGATATTTAGAGGAAAGTGCATCGTTAAAAAATCGTATTAGCATTATTCTCGGTACCAAGTGCTCAAACAACCTTACATCGTCCCATATAGGAGTACCATCCTGCCAAAAGATATTTTCATTTTTTTTTTTTACAGTTTGGGATATCTTATTGACAATATTTTCAGTAAATAGTGTATGTACACAGTCTTGTGCATCAAGAATGAAAGAAATCTGAGGGTAAAAAAATGGACCAAAGTTATACTGCCCCTTAATGTTGTCCAAAGAAATTTAGGAATGGCAAGTGTTTGAAATTTGTTAGCACGGGTAAAATATCAACTTTCATGCTACGGATGATAACTTTTGTATGAATCCTGCAGTCACTACACAGCAAAGCCAGAAATGGTTGAACCCATTGTTGTGGACTAAAGGGTATGTGTCAATCTTGCTAAAATGCAGTCTGATTATACTAAAGGTAGATTTAAGGAAATTAATGGAAGTTCAGATTGCTAATTAAATATTTCTTGCAGGAGGAAATCCTGATTAAGAAGTGGTCTGGATACTGTAATAGGTTAGTGTTAATGTCTTGTTGCTAATGTAACTTGGGTAGTTTGAAGGTAAACTAAAGAATGAAAGCTCAAAGTATAACGCTCATTTTACACTACGTACTCTTTTCTTGGCTGATGGAAGGCATTGTAATGCAATTATGCAGTCCCAACATGACATGATTGATAATTATTACTTGATATCTCTGAGAGAAGTCAAAAGGATTCTGAGATTAAAAAAGAAAAAAAAAAAAATTATGTGCTGGATCTGTACTAAATATATACTATACACTTCCAGATTGGTGCAGTTGGAAGCCATTTTACACAACCTTAGGTATGTATCAGCATGCAGTTATGTAACACCTTTTTATTTTTATTTTTTCTTCATAATAGTGTTCTTTGATAATTTAAGAATCTGTAATGTTTAGAAGACTGATGCTTTATTTTGTTTGGAAATGCACAAGTATATCATGGTTGAATTGTTCAAACTTGATTTGATTATTCCCTGGCCTTCACCTGGAATCCTCCCTTGCTTTCAAATTCTGAGCTGTATTAATTTTAAAAACTTGTCAGATCAAGCCACACTGCAAATGTTTGCAAATACAGCCTGGGGAAGTAGGGCAAAGTAATGTAAACTAAATGAAATAAAACTAGATTTTCCTCCATAACAGTTCTAGACAAATTGTGGGTGAATTTCACAGGTACAGTCCTGAAATATTTTACTTGCATAACTGGAGAGAACTAGCACATCTAAAACAGAATGAACTTGCTGTTATATTTGTACCTCAGTGACTTTAGAACAGTGGGTCACAGCACTGTCCCTCCTTTAACCCTTTCAGGGTTGCTGTACTAGTACTCAAATTCTAGCGCCTTCAAATCTAGCAAGAGAAAGCTGGTAGGCCTACATATGAAAGAATGGGTCTGTGGTCAGTGTGCACAGTATAAAAAGAATCCTGCAGCACAGTGCATAATAAGAAAAAAAACAACTGTTTTTGCTTTAAAACGGCTACTTTGCAGTGTATTTTCTTAGGCTATTTATGGTTGTATTCTAGTTTTTCTAGTCTCATTTTATAGAATGGAAGATGTATTACAGAAATTGAGATGATTTTGATTGGTTTCACAATGAAAAGTGCCTTGAAATTGAGCTCGGTAGCAGAAATGTTTTGGTTTTTGCCAAAGTTCAAAAGTAAACAAATCATGCCACACGTCCAATACGTGTCAACTGGCGAGTCTAATATTCTTTCACAAGTGTGCTGATATTATTTATACCATTCCTACACTAATGTAGTCTGCATAACGGTAAATCTTGAATTTTTTTTTTGAGAATAAAAATTCAGTGGAAAGCAAAAGTAATGAGAGACCTGCGGACGTGACTCGTGAACAGAAAAGAGGTATTTTAGTGCCAGGAGTGTCTTGTTTATTCTGAACCCTATTTGGAAATTGGCAACTCTTAAAAATTTGTGAAATTGGCAAAACTGCCAATTTCTGACCACTTCATTGTATAGTTGAAATCGGTAAATGGGTGGTTTCTTGTACTTATTAGATAGAAAAACTGTAGTTTTAGCGGAATAGTTGATTTTTGTTGACTGGTACATTGGAATTGGCCGGAAATAAGGCTCGGTGGGCGAAATTACTAATGCGTAAACTTCGTAGAGACTGCTAATTTTGCAAGGGCATAGTTGCGTAACTTTTCCATCAGACTTCATACTTCTGGTGTCTTTATGATCAAGAGAAGATTCTCTTATTTCATAAGAAAAAATTTTTCTTTCCCAGAAATTTCCGACCCTGAGAAAAAGTTTAGGAGAGGGCCTGCCGACCCTGAAAGGGTTGCCCACCTCAGCTCCCCAAACTCATCTGGACCTTATATTATATGAACCTCTCATTCTTTAATTTTTTATTTTTTATTTTTTACAGGAGGCCTGGTCACAGACCGGGCCGCGGGGGTGTTGACCCCCGGAACTCTCTCCAGGTAAACACTGGCCGATTCCTACCAAGGCAGGGTAGCCCGAAAAAGAAAAACTTTCACCATCATTCACTCCATCACTATCTTGCCAGAAGGGTGCTTTACACTACAGTTTTTAAACTGCAACATTAACACCCCTCCTTCAGAGTGCAGGCACTGTACTTCCCATCTCCAGGACTCAAGTCCGGCCTGCCGGTTTCCCTGAACCCCTTCATAAATGTTACCCTGCTCACACTCCAACAGCACGTCAAGTATTAAAAACTATTTGTTAAAATTTATTCCTATCAAACATGCTCAGGCATGCCTGCTGGAAGTCCAAGCCCCTCGCACACAAAACCTCCTTTACCCCCCTCCCTCCAACCTTTCCTAGGCCGACCCCTACCCCGCCTTCCTTCCACTACAGACTGATACTCTGATATTCTGTTTCGCTCCATTCTCTTCACATGTCCGAACCACCTCAACAACCCTTCCTCAGCCCTCTGGACAACAGTTTTGGTAATCCCGCACCTCCTTCTAACTTCCAAACTACGAATTCTCTGCATTATATTCACACCACATTGCTCTCAGACATGACATCTCCACTGCCTCCAGCCTTCTCGCTGCAACATTCGTCACCCATATAAGAGCGTTGGTAAAACTATACTCTCATACATTCCCCTCTTTGCCTCCAAGGACAAAGTCTTTGTCTCCACAGACTCCTAAGTGCACCCACACCCTTTTTCCCCTCAAAAAATTATATATTCACCTCATCTTTCAAAAGACCATCCGCTGACCCCGCCCCACTTCCCAAATGCTAAATTAATTCCCCCCCTCCAAACTTTTCTCCCTCCAACTGAAATCCAATCTTTCATCCCCTTTAATCTTGTTTTTAAATCTAATTACCTTCCCTTTTTCCCTTTGTTTTTCACTTTAAATTTTTTCTTTTTTTTGCACACCCAAAACCAAATTTCATCCCCCAAAATCTTGCAATTTCTCTTCAAATCCCCAAGAGCACAGTGTCATCAGCAAAGAGAAACCCTGTGCAACCCCCACTTTGTTTTTTTTCTTTTTCTTTTAACTCCACGCCTTTTCCCCAAGACCCTCGCATTTACTTCTCTTACAACCCCATCAAAAAATTATTTTAAAAAAACCACGGTGCATCACACATCCTTGTCTAAGGCCCCCCCTTTAGGGAAATAACTCCATCTTTCCTACATATTTTAATTTGAGCCTCGCTTTTTTTTTTTTTCCTCGTAAAAAATCTTATGTTTTCCCAGTAACCTCCCTTCTCCCACCATACACTCCCCTTTCCCCCCCCTATCCACCCTGTCATACCCCTTTTTTCCAAATCCAAAAATTCCCACAATGACCTCTTTACCCTTATCAAAAATTTAACTTTTTCCCCTTATGTTTCACGTAAAAACACCTAAATCCACACCCCCCCTCCCTTTTTCCTTTAAAGCCTCCTTTTAAAAATTTGCTACCTTTTCTCCGTCTTACTCTTTTTTTCTTTCAAAAATTTTAACCGGCCTTTGCACTTTCCCAGGTATATAAAACACTCTTACCCCTTTTTAAAAATTTTTAAACTCTTTTTTTCCCCTTTGCCTTTATAAAAAGGGGAACATACATGCCTCTCCCAACCCCTTGTTTTACCTTACCCTTTCCCAAACTTTTAAATAATTGCCCCAAACCCAACCCCCAAAAATATCCCCCCACCTGTTTTTTAACATTTCTTTCTTTACCCCATCAACCCCGGTTTCCCTTTTCCCCCTTTTCTTTTACCTTTTGCCCCCACGAACTTCCCACACTCCAAACTGGCTCCCCCTTCATTTCAAGATGTTTTCCCTCCTTGCCCTAAACCAAAATCATGGGCGCCCCATTTTTCTCATTTTTAAACAATTCCTCAAAATATTCCCCCCTTTTCCCCAAAATACCCCCAAACTCCCCCATTTAAAAAAATTTTCCTCTCCTTTTTTTAAATGACAAATCCATTTGTTTCTTGGTTTTCTTAATTTGGGAAATCTCATCCAACTTTTTTTTTTATTTTCAAAAAATTTTTAACATCTCCCCCACTCTTCATTTGCTTTTTTTCCCATTGTTTCCCACCACTCTTTTAAACCTTTTTTTCTCCAAAACTTTTCCCCCTCCTTCCCAATCACTTCTACTTTAATTTTAAATAAAATTTTTTTTCCAGCCATAAAAATGCTTTTTAAATTTGGGTTGTGGACTGTATTACGGGATTTTTGGTTGTCTAACCCCCAACAAAAGTAACTGACAAAACCTACCAAAGGCGGGATTTGAACCCGCGGCCCATTTCTCATAACTTAAGAAATTTGGGTTTTGGTCCCATTTAAATAAAATACTTTTTCATTTTTGCATAAAAATTTTGTATAAATGCATAACGTGAAGGGCACTTCGTTATCTTGTTTTATCATAATCCCGCCCCAGCAGGTGGGTATGCTAAAAATTGGGCCCCTACTAAAAACCCTTTCCTATTTTTTGAGTTGATACCCTATAATTAAGGGGGCAAAAATTAAACCCTTTTGTAGGTTAAGTTTAATCAAAACTTTTTTTCCCAAACCCCCGCCCCCAGTATGTTCTTTTTTCAGCCTTTTAGGCCAGATTTTATGATCGGAAACCCTTCCCGATGCCTATTTTACTCTTTCATGGTCCTCGGGTTTTTTGCAGGTAAACCGTGGTCCCCGGGTTTTCCCGCCATAAACATTTCCAAAGGCCGCCTAAAAAAACCCAAAAGGCCGAAAAAGGGAAAAATTTACCCTAAGAAATTTAAAGTAAATACAATTATCCATTCCCTGCCCAAAAATTTTTAAAAAAAAAAATACCCTTTTTGAAGATTTTTTTTATACACAAAAAGAGAAATAAATAAAATTTGTACAAGAAAAATTAAATTTGCCCCTTACCTACCTTCATTGAAACCCCCTGTAGGTTACGAAAGTGTAAAAAAAAAGCGAATTTTTTTTTTTTTGGGGGGGGGGGAATATTTCTCCCCCGTAACCCCGGGTGCTGACATACGGCCTATATCTCGGGAGAAAATTATTTTTCCTATTTGGAGGGCCCCCAGACCAAAAATTTATGGCCCAATTGACCTGATTTTCCAACCTAGAAGCACGATTGCTCTAACAAGCCTTATTTCGATTTTGGGCGTATCCTAAAAATTTTTAGATTTGTGTGGGTAAACAAATCTTTCTAAATGGGGAAGAAACATAGGAAAATGTATTTTTTCTAGAATGAAGATGAGGTTTATTACAAGGAAGGATGGAATTAGAAGTGCTCTCAGCAGTTTGTCAAAACCACTTTTCTAAGTACCACTTTAGCCCCGTGCCCTGCCAAGTGTAATTTTTCATAAATTTTTTTTTCATTTGATTTTCAAACCCCAAACTTTCTGGCACTTCATCAAATCAGTTTTTTAGCTTCTATTAGTACACCAAAATTGAACGAAATCGGTCTACAAATAGTGGACAAATTTTTGTTTACACGCCTCTAAGCGTACATTTAAAAAGGCAAACCGTAAATGGGATTTATATCAAGTGTAAGCAACAGAAGTTCAGCAATTGCATTACAGCTTTATACATCATTTGTAAGCTCAGTTCTGGTCTCCATATTACAGAATGGACATAAATCTGTTAGAAAAAAATTGCCCTAGAATGACGAAATTAATACATAACATTAGAAATCTTCCTCGAGAAGAAAAAATTGAAGACCATTAACCCTTAAAACCTGTCCAAACATAGATCTTCGTTCACATGTGTATTGCTCCAAAAGTAGATCTGTTTTTTTTACATACTTTCAAATGTAGATCTACATTTGGACAGTTTAAGGCTTAAATTACAATTAACTTGTTAGATGTAAAGTAAAAGGACACAAGTGCAACTAATGTGACATTTATTGTGGGAACGTTTTGCTCTCCAGGAGCTTTATCAAGCCATTACAAACAATACATGGACACAGAGGGTATTTTAAAGGCTCAGAGGAGGTGAATACTAGTGGGTACCATTTCGATGTTCACTAGTGGTGGTGGTAGTAGTAGTAGTATAGTGACAAAAGTAATACAATAAGGTAGAGCAATTAATTGTACATGATAAAAGGATATAAAAAATATTACTTGGGTTAAAAAAAAAAATAGGGGTTGGACAAATTAAACTGGAAAGAGGCATTTTTCAGTGTTCCTCTGGGGGCTTTTGTT